TATGTGATTTCCTCCCTGGGGGACAGACAACCGAAAAGTGGGTGAAGGGAGACGTCGGACAGGGCAAGAGGTCTGGAGACCTCTTTGAAGTGCTCCAGAGCAAAGATGTCGACTCTGAAGACTTGTGTGTGCCTCACCCAACCTATGGATGTCTGCTTGCCTCATATGGAAGCAGAAGCTGGGCAATGAAAAAGGAAGATGGACAAAGAATGGGCACATTTGAATTATGATGTTGGTAATGACTACTGAATATGCCACATACTGCCAAAAGGATGATCAGATCAGTCTTGGGGGGAAGTACAACCAGAAAGTTCCTTAAAAGTGAGATAGTCGAGATTTCATTTCGATGACTTCTCAAAGTCACTAGGAGGAGTCAATCAATCCCTAAGGAAGGACTCTAAATGTCGGGCTTCTTTTTTTTTTAAATCATTTTATTAGGGGCTCATACAACTGTTATCACAATCCATACACATATCAATTGTGTAAAGCACATTTTTACATTCATTGCCCTCATCATTCTCAAAACATTTGCTCTCCTCTTAAGCCCCTGACATCAGCTCCTCATTTTGCCCCCTCCCTCCATCTGTTCATGGTCTGTTTCTTATTTCTTTTAGATATATGCCCAGTAATGGTATTGCTGGATCATATGGTATTTCTATTGTCATGTGTTTTAGGAATCACCATATTGGTTTCCATAGTGGTTGTACGTATTTACAAGCCCACCAGCAGTATATAAGAGTTTCAATCTCTCTACATCTTCTCTAGAATTTGTTATTCTGTTTTTTGTTTGTCTGTTTTTAAATTGGGGTATGGTTATAAGTGTTAGATGGTATCTCATGGTTGTTTTGACTTGCATTTCCCAGATGGCTAGAGAACAAAAGCAACTTCTCATGTGTTTATTAGCCATTCGGGTGTCATCCTTTGTGAATCATCTGTTCAGCTCCTTTGCCCACCTTCTCAGAGGGTTATTTGTTTTATCCTTTGTTGTAGGCTTGTAGATTTTAGAAATTATTTCCTTGGAGTTCTGTCATTGCTAAATATATTTTCCCAGTCTGTGTGCTCTCATTTTACTCTTTCAACAAAGTCTTTAGAAGTACACAAGTATTTTATTTTTAATAAAACTCATCTATAAAAATAAAATTCAAAAGGTCCCATTCATTTACTTTATCTTCCTTTGTTATATCTGGTAGCCCATGTATGCCCTGTACCAGGGCACTTAAATTAGTCCCAATTTTCTCATTGGTGATGCTAATAGCTTTGGGTTCTACATGTAGGTCTTTGATCCACCTTGAGTTTGGTTTTGTGCATGAGGTGAGGCACGGGTCTTGTTTCATTCTTCTGCAGATGTGTATCCAGTTTTCCCAGTGCAATTTGTTGAACAGGGCATCATCTTCCCATTTAATGCTTATTGGGCCTTTGTTGAAAATTATTTGTATGTGGATATTTTTATTTCTGGATTTCATGTCCTGCTTCATTGGTCTATGTACCTATCATTGTTTTGAAAACTGTGGCTGTGATGTAGGTTTTGAGGTCGGGCAGTGCTAGACCACCTACTTTGTCACTCATTCTGAAGAGTTCTTTGCTTATCCTCGGTTTCTTTCCTCTCAATACGAAGTTGATCATTCATTTTTTCGTGTCTTTAAAAAATGATGTTGAACTTTGGATTGAGGTTGCATTGAATTTGCAGATTGCTTTAGTTAGTATTGACATTTTCACAATCCTTTCTATCCATCAATAAGAGATATTGTTCCATTCGTGTTAGTCTCCTTTGGTTTCTTTTAATAATGTTCTGTCGTTTTCTTCGTAGTTTTTGTTTCTGGGGTTAGGCTTATTCCTAGGTATTTCAGCTTTTGTGTGGCTACTGTGAATGGTATTGTTTTCTTGATGCCTCTTTTGGAATTCTCATCTCTAGTATATAGGAAACGGGCTGATTTCTGCTGGTTGATCTTGTATCCTGCTCCACTACTAAACTCCTGAATTGTTTCCAACAATCCTACTGTGGACACTTTAGGATTAAATCTTTATAAAATCATATCATCTGCAAATGGCCAGTTTCACTTCTTCTTTCCTCATTGGTATTTCCTTAAGTTCTTGCTCTTGTCTTATAGTTCTGGCTTGGACTTCCAGCATATTTTGAATAAGGGTAGGAATAAAGGACATCCTTGTCGGGTTCCCTGATTCAGTGGAAATGGTTTCAGTTTTTCTCTGCTGAGTGTATTGGCTATTGGTTTTTCACATATGGCCTTTCTTGTGTAGCAGATTTTCCCTTCTGTTTCTAGCTTTTGAGTGTTTTTATTAGGAAAAGGTGTTGGATATTGTCAAATGCCTTTTCTAAATCAATTGATATGATCACATGGTTCTTATCTTTTTTCTTGCTTATGTGATGGATTACATTAATTATTTTTTGAATATTGAGCCATCCTTGCATCCCTGGTATGAATTCCACTTGGTCATGATATATTATTATTTTTTGATATGTGGTTGCATTCTACTGGCCAGGATTTTGTGAATTTTTGCATCTATGTTTATGAGGGATATAGGTCTGTATTTCTAATCTTTGTGGAATCTTTGTCTGGTTTTGGTATCGGTAATTCTAGCTTCATAGAATAAGTTTGGTAGTTTGCTGTCCCTTTCTGTATTCTAAAATTGTTTGTGTAGAATTGGTGTCAGCTTCTCTGAATACTTGGTAGACACCATCTTCTGTGACGCCATCTGGTCATGTGTTTTTTTGGTTGAGACTTTCTTGATGATCATATCTATTTCATCTTTTGCTATGTGTCTGTTCAAGTTCTTAATGTCTATCGGCATTAATTTGGGAAGAGTCTTTTTCTAGGTACTTGTCCGTGTCATATAGATTATGGAATTTGTTGGAATACAGTCTTTTGTAATACTATGTTATTATTATTTTTATTTCATTTGGATCTGTTGTGACACCACTTGTTTCATCCCTAATTATAGATATTATCATCTGCTCTTTCTTATCCTGTGTTAAGTTGCTAGAGGTTTGTCAATTTTATTGATCCTTTCAAAGAACCAACTTCTTGCTTTGCTGATTCTTTCCATTGTTTTTGTTTTCCAGCTCATTTATTTCTGCTCTAATTTTTATGATTTCTTTTCTTTTGCTGTTGGACGGTTTATGCTGTTGACTGTTCTAATTGTTGAAGGTGCTGTGTTAAAATGTTTAACACAATCTTCCCTTTTTTCAGGTGCCCATTAATTTCTATAATTGCTTTTAATGTGTCCTATAGCTTTTGGTATGTTGTGTTATTATTCTCATTTGCTTCTAGGAACTTCCCAATTTCATCTTTTATTTGGGCTAACACCTAGTGTCTTTTGAGTA